ACTTCAAAAAAAAAAATTTTTTTTTTCGAATAACTGAAATAGCTTATTTTTAATTAACTACAATTCTCCTTTCAACAATTCCGCTCACTTCAAGTAACCTTGACTGAATAATTGTGATAACAGTAGTAACAGTTGTGAGAATGAGAGAATTTAGAGACAGCATAGTGTTTTACATAAATGAGCAATAAAAAAAAGATATGGAATCATAATTGTAATTTTAAATTCAATATGTTTTATTTTTAAATTTTATTCAAATATGAACTTAAAAATTTAAAACAAATCTAATAAATTTCATTTTCATAATTTTAATCAAACTTAAGCGGTTGATGTTTTATTTTATTTAATCATTTTTTTTTTCGTAATATTGGTATAATTTAAGTAAGTCAAACATTGTAATGCAATACAGCTTCTGAGATTTCTCAAAATTATGAAATACGATGTATAATTATATTGCATTAACTGAATCAAATCAATAAGTGTATATTCAAATATTATTTGTCTTTTCGCATTTCAAATTTTGGAGAAAATTGATAGTTAGTGAAATAAATTTTGAAGTGGCAAACACTTATGAGACAAACGTAAATGAAGTGATAATGTCAATTCAATGATTGCTATTTTTTATTTATTTTTATCTTTCAGTTGACTACAAAAATATTGAAGTATTTTGTAATTTTCTTCACGTTTTCCTCAAAATCTAATTTCTCAGGCAAGGTGGTAGCTAATTATTTTTGCAATAATTCTCCTCATCATAATTATTTTTGAGATGGTAAAAGTAATAATATGTAAAAATTGTAGTACATAATAATGATGAAAATAATTTTCAGAATAAATTTATAGTGACACTGTCAACGGATATATTACAAACAATATGTAGTGAAATGGAAGATGATGAACCCGTTAGTTTCGATGTATGGAATACGCAAGTTGCTCCAGTTCCGTTTCTTTTTTTTGTAACGTTTTTCTGACAATAATTTATCAAATACCAATATTATTTCAGTAAGCTATAAAAATTAGTACAACGTACGAATGCAAAATTTTTCCTTCTAATAAGTTACGTACTTTTACTGATTAATTATTCATTCATAAACAGCACATAGCTAGAAAAAATAATTTTTGTTTAATAATTAAAGAATAAATAAAGGAACAAAAAGCTCTTCTTTTTTTTGTTTGTTATTATTAATTTTTGAATTTAGTTATTTTAGTTTACCTCTGACTTAATGGATGAAATTAAGGATAACGTCAAAGTTATTGATATTTACCATCAGAATTACCATCTGTAAGTTCTTTTTCCTTTTTTTTTTCCATAGTATAAAATTATAAAGAACTAAATTTTCAGTTAATTTTTATATAATTAGTTTTAAAGCACTGTTACTGGATTAAATTTTATCATGATATTAAAATGTGAAATAATTTATTTCAGGGAATATCAGAATATTTAGTGATTATACCACTTCGTCGTCGTCGTCATCATCGTTCAAAACATCCATCTTCACCGACTTTATCATAAACAGATTATCATTAATCGCTGGAAGTTGATTGAACGCACTACGAATTTGATTGCTATAAATGAAAATAAACAAAATAATTGCAATGGATATGATTGAAATTTTTTCATGCATAATATAATGTATCAAATGAATTCATACTTGATAAAGATTTGGTGACATCAATAAAATGATTTTTTTTTGGTTAATAATAATTGTTTATTCCATCATATAGAATTACTTGACGTAAAATATGTTAGAATTGATAGATGTAGAAATTAAAAATTATAAGTTGCATTTGTGACTTTAAAAGCTAGAAAGGTCAAAAATGTACTGTAATATAAATTAATCAAGTAATTCAAAGTTAAATTCTGATTAAAATTAGTTATTAGAGTAAGATTTTGATTGTAATCAGTTACAACTATTTTTTTCACGGTTTCATTTTTTGTTATGTTAAATTTGAAAGTTTTTTTTTTTTTGAAATTTGAAAAGTGTTCATCCGGTTTTATTTTGTTTTTATTTTAATAGTTTTGTTATCGCTATTAATTTGTATGAAATGAATGAGAGGAACTAATGAAGAAATAATTCTAATAATAATTTTGCTTAACTTTACAAATTAATTTTACAAAAAAATTTCTCGACTTTTCTTATAATAATCTATACTTACTCGACCAACAAGCTTCGTTATCAATAATCATTTTGAAATTTACGTTTACAAATTCATTAAATGAAAATTTCTGCTAATATCAGTTTTGGCAAATGAATACTAATAACCATTACTTTCTTGGCTAAAATTTTCCTCCATTAGTTAATTATACCTTCTGTCGGAAAAGCGAAAAAAATATTTATTACACAGTAAGTGTTTAGAATAATACTAATAATTCATTACTACAAACTAATTCGTTATTCCTTTGTTATATCCCATTTTTTTGAAACAATGAATCCTTTATCTAAACCTCAAATAGTAAATGTACATCTGTCTTCACTGTAAATGTTAATCTGCTGCTAAGCCAACCCAGCCCACTTTCTACATCCTTAAAAGCCTTCTTTAATCTGATAACAACAAAGAAACGATCGGTGCAGTCTTCTCTTCCTCCTACTCACTCAACAGTACCACTTACTCCTTCGCTGTTCCAATTACTCCACTATATACTTGTCGGTCGATCTCGCTTGCAGATAAGAAGCAAAAGCTTCAGTTTAAGTCCTACAAACTTCACGTAAATCAAGTGAACTTAACTAACCGAAATCATCTACTCTTCTGACCAAGAAGTTCTTCAAAATCACGACAAAATTTTTGGTGCCACGAACCGGACGGAAAGTAGAATTACAATGGCTTTTACTATTATTGGAAGTATTAAACTGTAATTCTGCAAAGGACCGTCTAGAAAGATTATTGAATGAGGTGAAAACTATGGATATCCAATTTCCAGACTCAACCTTACCGAATCACGAACGACTCGAAATTAACAAAACCAAAAATCGACTCATAGATGAAAAAATTCTTCGACTGCAAATGTGCACTGACTCTATCGAAGCTTTAAATAAACAGTGGATAGAGGTGCCCAAAAATCCAAAACGAAAAAAGAAGATGAGGAAAACTACGCACAAATAGCTACGGGACAACAAAATATCTTCATTCTGAAGCACGAAGCAAAGGAGGCCACTATCACGCTGACTATGTACAAAAGGGAAATTAATAATGAAATCAAATAAATAACTTCTGAACTGCCAATAACGGAGTTGAAAACGCCAACATCTTATCGCAACATCAACCTTCCTCAGCTATCTCTACCCAATTTCGATGGAGAACCCGACAATGGATAGAGTTTTGGAATGGGTTTAACGCGGCTGTACATTCCCAGGATATTCCACAATTCCAAAAAATGAATTATTTAATTTTCTGCTTAAAAGATACAGCACTACAATCGGTAAGAGGCTTTGATGTTACCTCAGAAAATTATGAAATTGTGCATCAAATATTTACCGAAAAATATGGAGACTCGTCGACAATAATCAAATTACTATACAATGAACTGCAGTCAATTAAACGAAACGATAAGAAATGGATCGAAACTGTTGAAAGAATGGAAAGAATTTTTCGACAATTAGAAATGCTAGGAGAGAACTTAGAACATTCCAGCATTGAAAATACAATCGAGAGTGGACTACCTCGATGAATACTCGGTAAAGTGTATCATCAAAAATCGGTCGACATTCCATGGTCAATAATGAAATTAAGGGGATTCGTCTGAAACTTTATCAACATGAACGAACAAGTAAGAAATCAGTTCTCATTTACCCCTATGGAAAGAAAATATGCCTCACACAAGAAAGCGAATCCAAAAAATCATATTGAAACTTCTACATTGGCGGCTATCCAAAATGGAGGCGAGATTTCTCACTCCTCGACCAAAAACTGTGAAATCAAACAAAGAAGCACATTTTATGGTAAAAACCACATTTTATGGTAAAAACCACGTGAAACGTGTCAAGCATATTCGTTAATGGATTCTCAACTGAAATGCCACGATGTACTATTTGCATGAAATTAACTCACCAAAGGAAAGAATGCAGCAGAAAGGTAAAATGTGTCTACTGCAAAGCTTCTCACAATAGTGCTCTATGTAACAAAAAATTCTTGACACCTTCTTGACTAACAATCTCGCATATTTTCTTGGTTATTAAAAAAGAATGTAATTTGAATTATTGCATTAGTTCAAGGGTATAATACAAAATTAATTATAATAAGAATGAATAGAAATGAAAAAAAATTTTTCAGTTTTAAAAGTAATTATTAAAAGCTAACTCCAAATTAAAACCAAATAAACAAATCTGTTTCATCTCTTTTTTTCTTTTCTACTAATCCAGTTTATTATTTCGTAAAAAGAATTATAGTATTTATTATAAAAAATAAAGAAAGAATAAACTAAAATGAAATGAATTATGTTGTTTAAATTATTGTTTCATTAATGGCATATTTTATAGTTGAATAAATAAGTGTGAGCAGAATTATCCTTTTTCACATATTTAAACAAAAAATATTCTTACTTTTAAATATATTATTTGTGTACTAAACTTGAATGAAACGAATATAATTGAAAGCAAAAAATGTTCCTACTTTAGTTAAAAATGAAATATCACTTCATTTAATTAATTAAGTGATAATGGAATGAAATAATGTCAACTTATCTTTTCTTCCGTACTAGTTCTATTTCAAGTAATTAATTGCCATATTTTATGATTAAGAACTAAAATAGGAAAGATGATAACATAAGTTATGTACATAATAAGGAAAATTTGAAGATTTATGAAGAGGTGAAATACATCTTACAAAATGCTATACTAATTCTATTTCACAAAAAAAATATTTCATAAAAAGATTTGTAATATTCATTATTAGAAACAAAAGCAATAAATACTTGATAAAGAGTACAAACAATACAGGAAAAAATGAAATATAAATTTTATTAACAAATTTACAATGCATATTAATGATTATCATGTAAATTTCTTCACTTATACCAATAAATTTTTTCTTTCACACTTATGATTACAATCATTTAGTAAATCAATACTATTTTGAATATCTTTCTTCAATGATTTACATTTTGTTCGTTGTAATGGTGGTCGTGCTTCTCTGCAATTAATTTATTTTTAGTTTATTTATTTTCTTGATATTTTGAATCTCTAAAATTTGGCACAAAAATATTTAAAAAAGGAAAATAAAACAAATAAAAGGAAAAATCATTGCAAAAATTAAATTTGTAGATTTTAATAAATAATTTTTCACTTTTTGTGCTTTTTTGCTTTACAAAAATAAAAATGATAAAAAAAAAGAAAAAACAAAACAAAAATAAATTAATACCAAAGGAAAAAATTAGTAAATTTTTAAATTTAGAAGGTAGAGAAGAAAATTCATATATTAACCTATCAATGAATTTTCTCATTCTGCGCCATAGCATTGAGCTATTTTCAAGATTATTATGGCCAACATCAGGTATCCATAATGGCTTTACAGCCCCAGGGCATAACTGATACAATGCTTTCCCATGCTCAACTGTCACAATCATATCTTGCACACCATGTGCGATCAATGTTGGCATTTCAATTTCACTTATCTAATTAAAACAAACAAACAAACATGAATGAATTATAACGATCTTAATTTATATTAAATATACAAAAATTAATTCAAATTAATTTTGCTAAAGAAATTTTTTTTTGAAGGAATTTGGAATTAGCAAAAGTTATTAAATTAAATATTAATTCAATTAGTATATATTTCTAAAGAAAAAAAAGTTATATAACGTAAAACAAATAACACTACAGTATGCTATTGGAGAAGTGAAAAAAAAACATGAACTTAAGGCTCTAATAAACAATAAGTGTATTAAGTTAAAAAATTTTTTTCTAATTATGTAATTTAAAGTGTTTGAAACCTTTTTGAAGCTATTAAATCGATCACCGCAACAATTAGCTAAATGATCACATTGCTTATTTCGTCTCCAACAACATTTTCCCCAACAAATTGTTCGTATAATTGATGCTATTGGTGCTAAAAGTATTAAGCCAGCAAGTTTATTAGCTTGTTTAGCTAATTCTATCGATGCTACTGTACCAATACTATAACCCCATAATATAATATTTGCTTCTGGAATTGATAAATCTTCCAAAAGATACTGAAAAAAAAAGGTATAATTAGTATTAACTTGTAAATATTGAATTAGTTTTATTTTTATATAATTATAGTTTAGTTAGTATTATATTTTTACTTGAATTCTGTCTAATTTTTTTTTTTTTTTTTTTTTTTGGGATGTTACAAAATTCATTTTTTACAGAAACTTTAGTTTTTTGTTGAAATTTTTAAGACTTTTCAATCTTATAAGATTCACTTTGAGTTCACAGGTAAATAGATAATTATAAACTGACAAAATTAGTGTTCGAAAAAAAAAAGTTTAACCTTTATGTTAATAAGTCAGGAATAAAAATTATCTTTTTTTTCTGCATGAAATGATGAAAAGTTTATTAAAATTTAGTAATAATTTACTTTATATACAGCAGTAATATCCGAATACATATTTTTTTCACTTGGATTACCATCGCTAATTCCATAGCCACTATAATCGTATGAGCATATATTACAATTGAAAAATCTATAATTTGAAATAAATTTTTATTTTTTTCTTTTGTTACAGTTAGAAAACAAGTAAGCATTAACTAGAAAATTGCTAGTGATAATAATGATAAGCAAAATAATAAGTGAATATTTTTATTAGTAACATTTATTCCTGATAATTTTTAAAATTATAATAATGATACTGCGGTATTGTTCAATTAACGATATAGATGAATCGAATTAATAATTAGTGTATTAAATGGAATTGCTCTGAGTAAATTATATTATGGTAATTTCTATGGTGGTTGATAAGTTTTGGCTATGTTCAAATTAAAATTGAAAAATTCAAATTTTAAATAATCAAGACTGATTTGTAATCATATTATGTTATGTGATGATGATAAAGTTATTAATAACAGATAAAATTATTGTTCCGATAAAACTGACAAATTTTTCTTTGAAATTGATTGAAATATGATAAAATATATTATAAACCTTGCTGCATCATGCAAATTAGGTAATCCAACAAGGTGGTCGGATATATCACTGCCATTTGGATGTGAGAATAACAACGTATAACGTGGTCGTGCTTTTCTGACAAATACACAAGCAATATGCTAAAATGATAAACTTATCATTATGCTATTATTCGACAATATGCCAAACTTGTTAATTTATTAAGTATCAAGTATGAAATTTAACGATTTCATATAACATTGTGGCAGTTTATATTAAAGTTTTAAATTTAGAATAATTTTAGTTATGAAAAAAGATGATTAACATTTTTCTTTTCTGTTTCTGTAACAAAACATTCAATTCCAAATACTTCAGTAGCACATTGATGCTCGAAACCAAATCTCAAATCTTTTCGCTTCAGACAATTTCTGTAATTTAAAATTTAATTTTATTAGAAATTTATGACTGTCATAATTTAAAAGGTGGAAGATAATTTAAGAAATGATCAATTCATTACTATCATTAAAATTTAATCTTATGGACATACAGTGAGAATTTATAATATTTTTGGTGTAGCAGATGAATGCTGGAGTATTTTGGAATATAAACTTTTCGCATCAAAATATGCTTATAGTTTCCTGATCGGAACTGATCATTTAATTTTCTTTTTTTTTTTTTTTTAATAAATTTATCATTGTCAGAAGTATCAGCCAAGAAATGTAAAGTTTAATGAAATGATAAGCAAGAAATGACATAATCTTAGGATAAATGATGTCACAGTCATATCTTATTGACATCCTCCTACGTCGCTTATTAATTTTCACACTAATGTCACATTCAATTACAACTTTAAGTTCTATATTTAATTAGTTGACAATATTATCACTGCCAAACAAATAAATCACTTATTAGCTTTACGAACGATACATTGTTGAGTTAATGGTTCTCGATCACTTTTACTGATATTTTTCGCACTACCACCAATGAAAAAGTAATATTCACGTGGTGGTGGCCAAAATGCTACCTGAAATAATTGGGTGGTTTCTGTAATCTTAAGTATAGAAATTTTGTAATTCAAATTTAAATTTAGTACTAATTTGATTTTAAAAAAAATGCAAAAAAAAGTGATTAAGTTGGAAATGAATACTTAATTAGCTCATATCAAGCCAATTAAGTCAATAAAAAAATAAAAATTTGAATTAATAAAGTAAAAGAAAAGAAAGAACTTCAAAAAAAAATTTTTTTCTTTTCCAAAAAGCAAAGTGATTATAACCACTTCTGATGTTTTGTTTTCTTTATTTCATAAGTAACTATCTTAAGAGCTTACCAGAAGATCATACTTCTCTATGCTTCAATTCAGCAATTCTGCTATACTATTAACAGCACTCCAAGTGCTATTAGATGAAAAAATTTTAAAGCGATTATAATAAAAAAACTAAAAAAATATTGAAAAAAGGACAGATATTAAGCCTAAGAGATGACAATGGAAATAATATTATATATATATATAATGTACCTTATTTAAACAATAACCTAAAATTGGTGGACAACAGCAACACCAAATAAATTGTCGAATGAAACGAAAAATATTTTTGATAATTTCCCATAAATTATTAAACCAACTCCAACGCGTTTGTTTACATATACAATTTAAAACGAATTTTTTTTGCCTAAATTAAAAATCAATTTTTGTGAAAAAAAATTTATTGATATTATTTAGTATACAAACATAAAATTTAAATATATATGCGAAACTTAAAATACTTAGTATATATATATGAAATAATATCATTGTTTTCTATGATATTTCATGCATTCATTTCTCATTTACATAATATCGTTTCAGTACCATTGATAAAATGCTACGCTTAAAATCCATGAATATTTTTTAATTTAGAAATATTCATTCCATCATTTCTTTTCACTTAATGATATTAACTTGTCAAAACAGCAATTGAATAAGCTATGAAGACTACAGAAAAACTGTTTAGCATATTGCTAAAGTAGGATTTATGATAAATTACTGTTTAGGTGATTTATTGTAAATATGAAAATTATGGAAGACAAATTCAACAAATAACATAAAAGTTAAGAACTATTTTAAATAAAATTATTATCGAAATGATAATTTAAAAAGAAAAAAAATTTTGAAACTTTACTTATATTCATCCAGAAGTTCCAGAAAATTTTCCTCATTCCTTTTATCATCAGATTTTTTCAATTTACTTCGGGTATGCCACATTTTTCTACGATGCTGTCTGCATTTATGAAAATTGAATAAAAATGAAATGAAATTATTTCTAAAGAATAATAATTTAATAGGCTAATTCATACTTTTCAAATCATTTCTTTCACTTCAAGAAGTATACCCTTGAATTATATTTCATGGCCTTGTAATAAATTTAACATAAATATGCCAAATTTGAATTCTATCAACAAATTATGTCTTTTTACATTTGTGTTATCTCAGGGCAAGAAGGCTCATTAATTTCAATAATTATTTTTTTCCATTCCTTATTTTCGTATTTATCAGTTCGTCACATTCTTTCTCATTTAAACTTTGTCTCATTTTGGAAGAAATTTTAATTTTTACCGTCTGCAATGATCATCATGCTTTTGTAATCGAGAAGAAATTGAAAATGTGCTTAACGATATAAGAGATGAGTTCTCCTAAATTTTAAAATTGAAAATCAGGAAAAATGTACTTTAGGAATTGAGAGAAATTTAATTTTTAATTCTGATTATCTTTCAAATCACCATACAGTGTCATTTTTGCTTGAATGATGATAATTTTTAGAATTAATTATGCATAAACTAATAGTTATACCAGTACATATTTCGAAAATACTTTAAAATTTATAAATATATCAGATTATTATATACTCATAGTATTGCATAAGTTTTTATTTTCTAGCTAAATTAATACTAGCTAATATCAATGTAATCAGAGAATAAGTAAGAAAAATGGTCAGAAGAGATTAATTTTTATTAGCATTAATTAACATAAACGATGCTGATTACTTCTATAATAATATTATTAGATTTAGAGAAGTAAAATTTGCTAGCAAAGAAATAAATAATAAAATGAAAAATTCCTACTAATAACTTACAATTTTTTTTCCTGAACGATGACTGATTTTGATCGTATTCTAGAAGAATGAATTCTTGAAATCTTTTTTTCTTTTTTTCCGGTAGTGAGTCAAATGAATTGTACAAATTCATTTTACTCAAATTTTATTTTGTTTTATTTCATAAATGATTAATAAATGAACTGATAATTGATTTTCTTAAAAGTTAGTGGAATTTAAAAACTTACTTTCTCAATCATACTATCTTCAATAGCTGTTAATGATTCCATTGTAATAAATGGCTGTGACTGTAAAATGGATAAAATATCGTGAATAAATCAACAGAAATTACTATCTTACCTTTATAATTTTTATCATCTTATCAATTCCATCTTATTTTATTAGTCCTCCTTGCTATTTATCTTGTAAATGGCATAAGTTTTCAAGAATCGATGAACTTCAAAAAAATTTTTCAAAATTTCGTTTCTTTTTTAAAAGATTTTAACCTTATTTTGTCACTTTCTCGCTTCTGTTCTTTTCTTTCATATGCTGATAAATTTGATAGTTGGTAGTTGAATTCTTATCAGCATTGATTATTTTACAAATTTTCATATGAATCTAATAGATACCATTTCATATGAATGCATAAAATATGAAAAATGAAATAAGTAACATTTGACTTTGCATTTATATCTTATCAATTCGATGAAAAAGAAGTTGCAAGAAGTCATACTAACTTGCTGTTCATCTTTTGCAATATTTGTAGTTTCAGAAGTTCGGCTTAAATGTTGACTTCCTGTTATGCTAAAATTTTGACTTAAACTTTTCATACTTTCCCACATACGATTTTTTGCGCTAAATTCGCTTTCATTTCCTGACTTCATTTTTTGTGACTGAAATAGAAAGAATTAATAAATTTAAATATTAATTATTCTTTTATCTGTTGTTTTAAAAAATTACCAAAACAAAGAGAGAGAGAGAGAGAGAGAAAGATGAAATTGTTGCATATAATTTGCTGTCATCCATATTTGTACCAATCAAATCACTGTTCATTCATGTTTATATAATTCATCATTTATCAGAATGTTTTCGAATAACTTTTTTTGCTTTCCTCATATATTTGTACTAATCATCAATTCTAATCTTATCTTCAATTTAATAAAAACAAATAATTCTTATTTCAATCTGATTCAACTTCATTAAATTAGCGTTCATTCATGCTATGTACATTTCATTTCTTCTTTCTCTCTTCCAACCTAACAATAAATTTAATCATTGATTTTTTATAATATGTTCTTCAAACCAGACTCAACTTCATATGTTTTGAAGTAGAATTTTAATTATGGTTATGATTATTAGGTTCAAAATAAAAATTACTACTATTCCCTTTGAAAAAAAAAAAAAAAAAAAGATATCAAAGTGATATATAATACCAGTAGGGGTGTTTGATCTAAAATATTAGAATCTGTTGTAGATGTTGAAAATTCATCAGATTGTAATTTCTTTGCAGAATTAATCATGATGAATAAATAAACTTTACATGAAATGGATAGAGAAAAATGATGAAATTATCCTCTCTTCAAACTATTTATATCCATAAATTTATTCAAATTTTGCAAATGCGCAAATAATGCATGCGTTGTCGTATGAATACAACAATTGCGCAACTAACGTACGTCTTCTAATACGAACGTAACTTACGTGATCAATTTAAAAAGCAAATGTAGAATGTTATATGCAAGTAATACATGCATTTATTTATTTCAAATTAACACGTAATCAATACGCTATTTCGAATTTTTATGTTTATCGTACACAGCAAAGATGGTAAAAATTAATCACTGATTTTAACAGAGTGATAAAACGTTAATGATAAAGACTGATAACAATCACCAATGCCACAACAATATATTGAAATGATGCATTACCACGCATATACATTCAATAACCTAAAAATAATACGTAATAAGTTATATGTGATAAATAATACTATAATCAGTAATTAAAAAAAAAAAAAAAATCAAAATAATTTTTCAATATATGATCAAAACTAAAGAAAGTTGATGAAAATATTTGCTTTGAAAAAAAAAAAATTGAAAAAAAAAATTTTTGAAAAAATTTGAAAAAAAAAAATTGAAAAAATCTAAATTCTTATAATTATCAATTTTCTTTGACATTTCAATCAATTTTATAATTGTAGGAATTCGATACTTTTATATCGATGCTCCAAAATTATTATTCTCTCATTTCTTTTTTTATTGAAAATATTAGAGAGCGCAGTCTTTAATTAGTTGGTAACATTTAATGTAATCATTGTCATTTCAACAAAATTATTATCGATTCCATTATCATTATCACTATCATTATTATATCCACTACTGAATTACTATTAACACTGTCTATTACGATTATTTCAGTTAATAATGATTTTCACTTAAGTAGATTACTTTATAATATCACTAATAGTACAATTTGTCATCACTAACCATCTAATATTACTTGTCTTGCAAATTGATGCAATAACTATTTTAATAATAGATTATTTAACTATTTCACAACTCTATTATTTCAACGTTTGTAAAATGTCAATTACTACTTTGTGTGTAAAAGATAAAACTATTCTGCACCATTTCATTTCAAATTTTGATGCACGTAGTCAAAATGCAACAGTCGTAATTTTGACGTAGGTTTGTTTGTTATACATGTATTTCAGTATCAGACATCAATCTTTAATATATCTGCTTTTTTTTTCGAATTCTACACTTTTTTTAAAAATTTCTTTCAAGTGATATTTGTTTATACGTCTATTCGCAAATTCTTGAATAACAGATGCAGTTTATTTCTTTTTCTTTACTTTTCCTTTAAAACGTTTTGTGTTTTCCAAACATAATAAATTACAGTTTTTTATATTGTTCATATCTTTTCAAAATAATACTTTTATTTTTGATTGTCAGGCATTCTTATATATTATTTGGATGTTTTAAATAAATCTGTTTTACAGGCATCAGAAATGATTATTTGAATATTAAGAGAAAAAATGGGAATGAAAAGTTTGAACGTGATATCATGGCATTATCAGACACCTGAAAGAAGAGCTCTAAAAAGAAATCGATTAGGACCACCCGATGTTTATCCGCAAGATGTTAGTTTTTTAGCATTTGTTTTTCCTGTTTGCCTTCTTAATTACAAAATCTTCCTTTATAAATTCAAAATAGAAATGAAGAATCGAAATTAAGCCTTTCTACAACCAAATTTATCTGTGAATGGACCATAATAGTTAACATTTCCGATTCTAATCCGTTGTGAATGCAAACTTGTACATATAAATCACAAACCATTTATGAAAATCATTTCTTATGTTGGTTTTCAATAAAATTTTAATTTTCAACTGCTATTTATTATTGCTATTGCAACTATTTCTTATCGATGTGTTCATTATTTTTTAGGTAAAACAGGAAGAAGATAATTTAGGAGCCGATCGTTTGAAAAAAGGTTATCAAGTTGCTGTGACATCTTATGAACATGAATCAATTGTTTATAACGTAAAGGTATTATTTCATCTAGTAATGTATAATTCCTGGTTTAAACTATAATTCATTTTGTCAGTATGATTCTAATGATATCTGCTGAAAATATGATTTTTTGAATCATAGAACAAATATGATTAGTGTCACGGAAGATAATTTAGGAATGTATTTTAGATGCCACGATTGGATCGTTTGGATGATACGATGTTACGTGGAGCACAGTTAGTAATGCAAATAATGGCAAAAAAAATGGAATTAAATGCAAATCTTGATAAAGAAAGAAGGCGTGCCGGAAGTGTTATTACTAAAGATAGTACTGGAAGCGGAGGGAATGGTGTAGGAGGTGGCCCACAAATATATTTCCAACAGTTTAGCCATAATGCGGTAGGTTGTTTCATTCCTTACGTTATGTCCACAATATTAATTTTATTCCTAATATTTTATTTTTTCATTAAGTTTCATTCCCAACACATTTTATAGAATCGAATTTCTCCCTTTGTCAAATAATACCTTTTATCAATTGCTTGGATATTATTTCAATTTTACAAGATCCATATATTAATCGAAAAATTCTACCCACAATAATATTTCCAGTTTTTTTTTATAGGAAAAAGCGAAGAAATCAAAGGAAAGAAATGACTGGTTCACTGATTTAGCTCATGGCAAACCTTTAGCAGTGTTAGCCCGGAAACCACCATTTTTTCGCAAAAAGGTTGCATTTCTGAATATTATCTGGTCATTTGTAGTAATTTAAACACTTCATAGTATGGTCTCAAGAATGTCTTGATTATATTTGTTTGATGTTCTGAAAACTTGGCAAATAATTCCATTATTGTTCAGAATTGTTCAAAAAATTAGATAAACTCATATTTGAAATTAATTATATTTTTAGTAATTCTGAATGACAATAAAATGAGCAGCTAGAGTAAACTAACTTCATTCTATATCCGAATTTGTCTTACTATATATCGTTAATGTTAAATGCTAAAAGCTGTCATAGGAAGATGCATTGGAATACTTATGTGATTATAAAGTACCAGTTAATCGAGCACTATGGTTCCTAAAACTAATTGCTGTCAGTGGTCAAGGATGTAATAGTAACGTGAACAAACAGAAAAAATCTACTACTGACCAGCTGGCTTCCGGTTAGATTTCAATTTAAGTGTACAGAGCAACATTAGATTAGTAATGATATAGTTCTAGAAGTTTTACAAACATATGCTAATGTTAATAAAATTAAGACTTCATATTTATACGATTTATGTTTACTTTAATTCCCTGAATTTTCCGATGCACATCATTTGAAGTGTTAGACTAAATACTTTATCTTCTAATTTATTAGAATTCCTTTGATATTTTGCAGAATTCGCATCCCTTTTTACGAAATATATAAAGTTAATGCTTAATCAGATGAGCGATAGCGCCAAACTAGAATCGAACATTGTTTATACTGATCGATGGCCACATTTTGTATACATTTGTAAACATGCATACGAGGTAAACTGTTGGTATTCTACCATACGTTTTATCAAATACTTATAACTATTTTTTTTTCTTCTATTTTTATACGAAACCGATGCATCCCAATCGTTTTTAGGATGGAATGGTTGAGAAGCAAGAATTTTTGATGGATTTATTGGATATATTCAATGACCGGTTTGTGCAGCCTATTGAAAATCGTAAAAATGACAAGACATTAATTCATCCTTTTTTGCATCATGGTAAGTGCAAGACAGTTTCTATAATATTAACTGTAATTAAGGGGTTGTGATACTTCTTAGGAACTGATTGCAGGATCCGGATTCGCTTCAGCTTCAAGTACCAATCAGTCCCATTATGTCACATTGTTACGTCTTTTTCTTCTATTTATTTGTCAATACACGGATCAAATTACACAAAATATAGTATTATCGAAAAGATGTGCATTTTTGGTATGTCATAGATTGGAACTGTATCGAGACGAAGCTGAGGAGCGGGAAGGAAGGTTTGCTTAAACATATTATATTTTCTGTCATATCTGAGTGTCGCTTTATCTCAAGTAACCAATTTTATTACCTAGCAAACATTATTATTGATCACATATAAGAATAGTATTGACAGTATTGCCAGATTATTGTAAAGAATAATTCTGTCTCACAATGTTTTTTAGAAAATAAAGAATTATATGCCACAGTATTTCTTGATCCATAATTAGTGATTGGAAAAGGAAAGATTATCTAAATTCATGTTTTTCCTTATCTCTTTCTTTTCTTTTTCTTTTTTTTGAGTAGATTGTTTTTGAGATCAGTGGATTGTGTTGAGCTATTCGATGATATGCAGCAATGCATTCATCAGCGTGCAATAATTTTGACACTTTGTGGTATGCTCTATGCTATATTAATTGATTGCCCTGCTGCTCTGATATGGAATAAATACGAAGGTAAGCTATGGTTTTGGTGTACTTTAGGTATAATAGGATTTTGAAATTATAGCTGTAATAGAACTGTAAGCAGTCGAAACGCTCAATTGTTTTATCTGTAATTAAGTTTTCGTTTTTAATGTTTGTGCTACAGTTTCACCAGGACGTCCGCCAACAATGCTTCATCAATTGTGCGGTTCACCACTGGATCATCTGCCTTGTCCGTTCGAAAGCCTTCCTTTACCACCAGGTCACGGTACTGAGCGATTGCAGGAGTTCATTCAACTTCGGTTGGCTGAAGTACGACGTCGTTCTCGTGCTTGCGAAAATAAATGGTCATTGAATTATGCACAGAAGAAGGGATTTGGTTTGTCTAAAACAATTATGATTTTTATTGTCTGTTTATCTGTAATATATGGAAGATTATTTTCAAACCTCTTTTGATTACATTTTCCTTTGCATCTATAAGGATTTCAAAACATTTCGTGAATCAACTTTGGGAATTAAATAAGTTGTCAGGTCTCACGTAGTTGTTTTCACATCAGTGAGACGAGGAATATTGCTAGGCTAAACAATCTAAATTACAGATAATTTTACCGTCAAACAGATTGAATGGGATTGTTTGTAGTCGTGAATGCTTTCTGAAAGCATAAGGCTCTTTTGATCTAAAAGTAAATTTTATGCAGGGTCCAAGAAGTTTGTTAAATTTAGAAGTACTCATAAAAAGAAAAAAATTTTTGTTTTTTTCAGCAGCTTTGGTTTTGCAATGTCTGGAAATAGTTGGCGTACTTGATGCTGCACGTCTGGACCAACCAAACTGCGTCGAAAAAATCTATGCAGTGATTTTTAACGGACCGTCCAAAGAAAGCTTTGAGGTGAGATAGTTTTTCTTGATAGAGTTCATATTCAGTTTTATTTTATTTTTGCTCTATTTGTTTTTGTCTTATAATTTTGCACATAAGCCTTTATTGCTTTGCAGCACGAACATGCAATCCGCGTGAAGATGCTTCTACAGTGGGCAGTAACAGTAGAAAGGGAAGGTACTCATCGTGCTATACTTGTCGCTCAGCTGCTTGCATTCCGGATTAATCATCGAAAAACGTTTAAATTTGGTATGTTATCCAATCATTTCGTAAACCATACGTCTCAGATGTTTATTTGTTTCAATCATGCTGGAACCAAATATTATCTAAACCTTTTTTAGCTCGGTTGCTTAAAATAAACCTTAAGATAACCCTTAAGATAGCTGGTATAAAAAAGCCTTATATTAGCTGTCGAAAGAAAGCAGTTAATATCAGTTTTGATCTAACACATATCGGTTAGTTGCTCAATAATGATTCAGAACTATTACTTTATGCAATGGTATTTTACAGAATGCGGTTTATAATTAAGCTCTTTTATTTCTTTTCAGAAGTCGATGTTTTTTTATAGGTTCGTTAACTCTGCAAGAAATATTGTTAGAGTTTCTTGTGACAGAAGGGCCGGATCCAGAAAATACCGACAAAAACCGTTTTTCTCAAGAGTTTGCTAATCTAATGCTTCTGTTTATTGAGTTGCAACGTGCTGGTGTTTTTTCCCATGATTTATATATGAAGGAATTAATTCGGACTGGTGAAATGTTGGAATATATACCATTAATGCAAAAAATCAGGAAACGTAAGGAAGATAAACAAAAAGTAAATATCATTCTACGCTTTTGAATATCCTTTACTTGTTTGCATTTTGTATGATTCTGTAATTTTTCAATCCAGATAAGTTGTACTTGCTCTTCCTGAAAAAAAAGAAGTGCCACAGAAATTTCAGCAGCATCAACAGTTATCGAACACGGTTGCATTTCCGTCGACATTTGTATCTCAACCAAATGAAACAACTGCAGCGCTCTTAACAGGAGCAGTAACGACACCACCTCCACTTGTAACGATGCCGTCTGAATTACCCGACGAGCACCCATTTTTGTTTAAAGATTTATCGGTGCATGAACGGCTATTGATACATTTACCCATTCCGCAGTCAGCTGAATATAGAAGCGAATGCAATCAGAGGTGAGCACAGATTTGCTGTTAGATTTAAATTCTTTGTTAGCAGTTCTCAAACAGCATTGCAAAAATGATCTTAAATTTGGATGCTCATTATTAAGTTGAATCTCTACAAACTTACATTTCCAATTTTTTTTTCGTTCTTTTTTTTTTTTTTTTTTTTTTTTCAGATCTCTTCTACTATATGGAATTGGTGCGGAACGTGACGCTGTGAAACTGGAATTGAGGCGTTTGGCACGTGAATTAGCAAAACTTTGGCAAAAGCGAATTGTTGTCGAATTTTCTTTTAATAAACCGTTGGAAATTCGATTTAAAAAGCGAACTACACGTGAACAACTTCAAGAAAGCATGGCTAAATTCAGGTAACATCGCATTATTTATAAAACGAAGTGATAACTTTTTTTTTTTGTGGAACTTGATTATAAAATCATTAACTTTATCCACCAGTTTATTTTGTGGAATTATGTATCTTAATTACAGATCATGTACATACTATGATCAACTTGTTCTTTGTGGCTGGTGCTGTGAATCTTTCATTCAAATGGTGCAGGATTTTGTTGATGGACACAGTTGCCTATTGCCGACCGCTGAAGGGCTTGATATCATCTTAGAAATGTGTGAGCTAGCACAGAATATTGCGGGTATTATGGAGCTCGCTGAAGAGGTCAGCTGTTTTCATGCTTTTTTCTTCATTTGTTTTTGGAAAATAAGTTTTTAAAGCTGTTTTGTTGTTCTTTACCATAAAATTGAATTATACAGTCAGTACGATATTCTACTAAGTAGCAATAATAGTAAAGAGAATCTAGTTATTCATGTTTCAGTTACTACCTCTATTAGTATTAATTGAACGAGTACTTCTGGAGCGTCGTGTTGACTGTGTTCCAAGTAATTTATCAGCTCAACTTGGTTATGTTCTAACTGCATACATTTCTCATAATTATTATTACTTTCTGTACTCTCAAAATGCACCCAATATTGTACAAGGGTATGTCTTATTGTTGTTTTCCTTTAGTTTTTTTTTTTTCTTCTTTGCAATCAAAAAAAAAAAAATCTACTTTCAGAAAAAAGACATACCCAAGAATGTTGTCAAATATTGGCTGGCGAAGATCAGGCAATACTGATCATCGCTAGCTTAGCCAACAAATAAATTAAAATAATTTTAGTAATTAATCTATCCCATAATACTTATATGCAGTCTTATGTTGACACTTAATTTCTCAAACTTTAGCTATCAAAACTATTGACATAGGTGTGATTTTTTTCAGCGACATCTTAAAAGTATTTGCAGATTATACCGGGTAATTGAAAGTCAGCTGAAATCATCAGATTTTTGTTTAACAGGATGGGGACGTACTATTGCTGTTTTTGTACTCGATGCAAAGAAACAACTCATTGAAACTGGTTCGCGATGGTTTAAATTTTGAAAAGTCCGTTTGGCTAACCTACTGTTTCTTACTGTTTATATCCATTACAGGTTTGTGTAGTCGTAAAATTGAAGCAAAACGCGAACTGCTAAAACGGGTGATACCGCCGTGGAAACCGGCGCACAATATTGGCGATAGGAATCCATGTGGAGGACAGCGATATGCGTATAATGCTAGCACTTTTAAAGAATTGCTGGAGGAACCAAAGTTTGTATATTTTGGAAGATACCAAATTTCATTTATTTGGGTAGAACCAATAATGGATAGTGGTGATATTTACAATGGTATTTATCATGTATATGAATACAGCGAGATTGAATTTTGTTCACTTTTTACACTAACAAAGACATGTATTTGCGTACGCTACGTCATTTTTTCCTTGTAACTGTTTTTTTTTTTTTTTTTTTTTTCATTCATAACTCATCACTTGTGGTTAATTCGATGTATTATTTCTAGGCGTATATTTTCCTTTAATGAATATCGTCGTTTGCATGCAGTTATCGATGGAACAGATGATGCACGATACAGTTTTGTTGTCAGCGCATTGCTTGCTGTAGTACACGGAATTGGCAATGTAGGCGGAAATGATAATACGGGAATTGGTAGTGGTTCAGCAGCAGTGGAACGACTTACAGGGGTCTTCCATTCATTATTATTGAAACTAATATAATATTTTTAATATTATTGTACTCTTTGAATATTTTCTACTTGCATTCAGTAAAATTATTCAATCTGCATGTAATATTTAAATCAGATGATTTGATTTGAAGAATTTTTTTTGGTCGAACAGGATTTAGATTGAACAAAATTGACGAGGGAAGTCTTTTCTTGAAAGATGCTGTTAGGAAGTGTCATTGTGTCGGAACATGATTTGTAAATAGAAATTTCAGGATCGGTTGGTTGAATTAGCGAATATTTGTGGGCATGTTAGTGCTCAAGCAGCTCAAGTAGAGAAATATTTGGACTGGTGTGGTGCTCTTCAAGCACTTTGTTGTTCAAGTTTGCAAGGTGGGACTTCAGCATTCCCGGATCTCCTGATGGAAATTAATGTAAGCGCTTCTGAATTCTCTAAAATAAGGTTTTAATTTGTCAGAACGAAGGAACTTTTAGCTAATTATTCTTGTTTGGTACTATCATGAGAATGCGTTGAAAGTCTGAAGTGTTTTTTTTTTTTTTTGATTTTTGAAATTTGAAATGTGAAGTTAAGGAAGAATTAATAATATTAACATTATAATCTCATGCAGGTAGAAGACTCAACATGTCATTATAATATTGCGACATTTTATATGCTTCTGGCGGGGCGTAGCTGTTTCAGTATAAATGCATTGGTTCATCAATTATTACATACAGCCTTGAAGTCATTACTTAACTGTGGAATTGGTTAGTTATAATCATTATCAAAGCTAAAAGTAAATCACTCTACCCAAAAATGTAAAATATTTAACGAAAGAAGTATAATGTTTCTCGAGACACTTTATCGCTCTTCAAGACGACGTAGTATCGAAAATTAGGATGCGTTGATCGGATGCTTTAAATATAGTAAAGTGAAGTCTTTGAAGAATATGGTTAATGATCTTTTTGACAACTTGCTATCAGTTTCAATTACTTTTAGGCAAAGTACTAGATGCGGATGCAGAAGCTGGTGTTTGTTTAGCACTTTTGGTGCTAGCTAATATTGTATGTCAAAGTGACCAACCAATCATTCGTAAGTTATTTAGCTGAAATGGAATTAAATAAATAGCAGAACTACCAGTATAATAGAGAAGATGGTATGTTAAATACTACTTTTATATGTGGATTATAGTTTCACCGCAGTATACTGGTGAGCGAATCAGTTCGAACATCTGTAAAGCGGATCGATGGATCTTAACAGAAGGTCATTTGCATGATATAGGCGATGAAGTTTGCGCACTGCTGGTTACAATTTGTATGATTGCCGATTACACCAAGCATAAACTGAGAGATCGATACTCGGATGAGTAAATTTTCTTACTTATTACTTTTATTTGTGCAAAGTTGTGGAAATAGGAATTTTGTTGTATTGTAACAGTAATTGGATAATATTAAAGTAGGACATTCTAAAAAGCTGTAACAAACTGGGCAGGTAAGATTGCTTGTCACTAATTGAAGTAGGCTGCAACTGGGATAAATAAAAGGACGATCTCATTATTAAATGAAATTGTGATGTAAACTTGTCCTTTGAAGTCAAAATATAATTATATTGTGCACTTGGCTATAAAACATTTTACATGGAATAACTGGACACTTTGTGAAGTTTTGTTGTTTGTTTACGTTGTTCTCCTTAGCTGTTAATTGGATATATGTTTGTTTGCAATAGTAAACCGATTGATCAACGTGTATTTCGTCGTGAGTATATAGCGGAATTGTCAAAAGGAGTACTAATGGCAATGTGCGAGCAGGAATGGGTCACTCAACGAATATACAGACGATGTGAAGATGGTGCATTGGATTGCTTCTCCTCTCATCAGCTGCGTAAAAACTGCTTGGTTTGTACACAAAATCTATTCCGACACTTTGGAGTTTTGTTGCTGTTTATTCATTGACTAAATTAAAACAAAATTCTTTGATGATTTACATTCCATCTTTCTTCCCACGCATAATTTCAGGGTCAACAATTATTACGCATGGCTTTGAGAAGACGTAGTGAACGTGAAATAGTACGCGAATTAACTATTTGTAATGGAAATAGTAAAAAATCACTTATCGATAAGCTGCTCAATGTTTTGAATATATGGAATACACGGGCCACTTATTTCGATTTTAAGTTAATGATTCGAGAGGTATAAAATTGGCATAGTTCTTGGAATTTTGTGCTATTTTCTTGTTCATCATTCTTTGATTTATTTATTTTGCATTCATTTATATACCCTTCCAGTTGCTTAAATTTTGCTTTTTTTTTTTTTTTTAATTCACAGAAAGTTCATATTTATATGCAACATTATCGTCATCCAAAATAACATTAAAAATCACTTTAAAAAACACTCTTCTTCATTACTCCTGTGGAAAGTAGATGGAATTATCACGATTGTATTACATACTTTAACTCAGAATTTATTTTTTTATTTCATTGGAAATATTAAACTGGTCGAAAAAGAAAAAAAAAACTTTTAGAACATTATTAATGATAATTTGCCTATCATAGATCTCACCGGAAGGTTGTACGAGTAAACATGCTCAGCAGGGTGCGATTGCTGCCGATGCACTGCTTGGTGAAATTGGTAAATGTTGTCGCGATTTATTTACACAATCACATAAATCTGATAAAAAATTACCACCGGCTGCTGTCGGTAAAGCTTTCAGGTTGGTAACATCTTTGTCCAGTTCTTTTCACAGTTTTTTTTTTTTTTTAGAAGAAGGAATAACTCAAAAAACTTTGTCGAAAATTGTATCTGCCATCAAATTTTAATGTATTTTTAGTTTCTTCAAATGCATTTTTTGCAAGTTTTTAGATCTTTAGAAAGTGTTGGTTAACCATAAGCTGTTATAGTACGTTTACTATTATAGTGTTATGGTCCACCTGGCAACATTTCCAAATTATTCATGATTTAATAGGTAACTAATAATACTAGATTAAAAACACTTCACCCGTCCATAATCGTTATGACACTTGGTCATTTTTGGGAATGAAATGCCAAAATAGAAAGTGAAATATTAATATTAGTGACAAAGAAGTTTTCAGGTTAAAAGATATCACTGCTTACTGGCTGATTAGTCCATTGGTGCATGCTTGTCCAAGACCGGGTAATTTGCCAGCCTCATTCCCTGCGATTACTGTGCAAGGAAAATTCCTCAAAGAAGCAGCAGCAATGCTTGATACTTCGTCGGATAATAACAAGGAAAGAATTCAGCAAAGGTACATTCTTTCAATGTGTTCTTTTTAAGTTATTTTGGCTGAGAAATATGAGAAATTCTGTAGCCATTTGAGATGCGTGAAGGTTTGATGCTTTCAGTACGTGGTTACTGAGCCAAGAGCCATTCTTGAATTTAGTACTGACGTGTTTGAACGGTGAGGAACAGCAACGTGATGGTTTGGTTGGTTCAATGCTGAAACAGCTACAGGAGTTGGCACTAAAAGCTAAAGATGTAGGTGGCAGCATTTACTCTTTTCCATTTATTCTTTTATGTTGAATTTTTGAAGTGAATTTATTAGCTGTTTTTTATATAGTGAATGTTTTGCTAAGTTTACGTTACAAAATTCGAAGGTGTTGCATTAGACGGCAGTGCTAAAAATGTGTTAGTTATATAGAGAAAGTGGGCAATAATGAAATATAATGAGAAACAGATCATTTTGTTAACTGTAATATTTACAGAATCCTCTCTTACCTTATTTGCGCATATTTTCGTTAGAACGCGAAGGAGTTCTATTGCGCATATCCTTGGTTGGAGGTATGTTTGACTCAGTATGTCATACTTCTATTTGTGATACCTGGGCATTGACGTTGTTTCAATTAATGCTTTATGGAGTTATCTCAAAGGAGCGAGACGGGTGAACAATTTTTTAATTTCTTTTCTTTTACTTACCGTTCGTTTACATTTTCCTTTTGTTTTTTTACTAATCGTGTGAGGTTCAATATGGTTGCTTTTTACATTTCATCATACAATAGTATAAAAATTAACGTATTGTACATGTCTACAAATCCATGAGTCGAAAGTTCTAGTTACTTAGTTCAGCCATGTTGATTTTATTTCCTTAATGGCGTCTAATAGTTCATGTGATGAAAAATAGTGCAGCTGAGATGCTAAATTTTAATTTCATTTTTCTATTAACTAATTTTTGTTGAGAGGAGGCGATTTTTTTACCTAAGCCTACTAAATGAAAACTGTAAAAATTTCCACTCGAATTTAGATATTTGTTCGATTCATGTTATGATATGTTATCTACTCTGCTGGTGTGGTCGATTACTGATCCGATGAATGCAGCAGCGATGAATACACAGGATCCAGATACTAAATTCCGATTTCCTACTTACTCCTTAATCGTTAAAAAACTGCGAGTAAGCTACTAAAAGTTACTGCTGAGTATAAAATTTGCAGTCATTTTCCGTTAAGTCATAATTCGTCAAAAAATTGAGATATTAAAAGTGGTCATACGCATTAGTGACATTTGAGGTCCAGCTTATAGTTAGAAATTATAAAAAATAATTTTACAGAAAGAACTGAACGAACGTGCTTTAATTCCTGAACTTCGTTCACTGATACAATTTCTGCCTATTCCAAAGCCCCAATTCGAACTGATAACTTGTGAACCATATGGCACTTTACCAACTTCACCTCAAAAACTTGGCAAGAGTCAATCTCAAGGGCAAATAATTCAAACTACAGTAAAAGCCAATCGCCACGGGTTGCAGGTTTGTTTCAGTGTTATTTAAATTCTGGATCTGTACAGTCAAACATCAGAAACAAGTTTTTCACGGTGAATCGATGAAAAGATTCTCTCCTTCTTGATTTTGCAAACAAAGAAAGTAATAAAATATTCACTACATCATGTGGTTTATTTGTATGTATTTCAAAGTATTACATCAATACACGTAGGCAGTCAGATGTAGTCATTTGTCTTTTCTAACTCATCTGTTACCTTCAGCTATATATAACTAGCTGTTTATTTAAATTTTGCTGTTTGTTAAACGATAGTTTTTGCTTTTTATCTTTATGGAGGATAGCTTTTATTATTCAGTTTGCTGAAAAGGTGAAGTTATCGGCTTACGATATAATACAATATCTGAATATTGATTCAACTTTACTGAAACGTCCTTGGAACTGGTCAATGTTACAGGTTTGTGATTTATATTCACCCAACAAAAATCGTATATTTTTTTTTTTTTTTTGAAGCATAAAATTGCTTGTTCATCCATGTTGGCTTAGGATATTGTGACTAATTTGATTGCCGAACCACCAAAAATATGAGAAATTGAATTCTTGTCATATTGTTCGTTTTTCTTTCTAATTCTTCATAATCCTAACTCTTACAGGCGGTAAAACTAGATCGCTTGCCAGTCCCTGTACAGCGATACATTCAGCGTTTAGTTCATCATTCACATTACAATGAATTTGTCCGCCCAACGATTTGTGGAATGGATCGGTGAATTAAATTTTTCCTACAAAAGAGTCTTATAAATAGATTATAGATATGGAAATAGTTCAAGCTGTTCGTCAGTTCTTAGCATAAATCTACCTGTTCTCCTATTGATCATTAATTCTAATTTCTTTCTTGCTGAATAATAGGAACAATCTACATGGTTGAATAAGATTAACTTTATAACTTAGCTGATATGAATGATCTAGAGTGATATCTTATAATCAAATGATGTTAATTTATTACAGACCGCCTAATCTGGATATCTATCTTTCACCACCGATGATGGATGTATCAGAGACACCAGCAACTCTGCATCATGTTTCTTCCAGTGCAGCTACCTCAACAACTACATCTGCTAGTTCTACGGTATGTCTATTAGAATTACAAACTGGTAGCGGTGGAAAATCTTGGGTTGATTTAGATATTTTGCATAGTTCAGTAAAGCTTCTTTGATTGTGTTTGACATATCTTCTTTCTGTGACTAGAATATTCAGTGAGTGATTTAATGTTGATAAAGCAGTAAAAGTTCATTCAGTGTAAGGCTCCTTTCATTCCAGAATGTACCGGTGTCCTCAGGTGGTGCAGCCATGGATGTAGGTACAACGTTGGGTCCTGTAGTGCAAGGCCGTGCAATGAGTTACCAGTCAAGTTCAACTCCTACTTGCACATCTATTCCCGATGGATCTACTCCATCTAGTACTCCTGGTGCACCAAGTACCGCTGCTACGGCGATGATCTTTCCAGGGCAATCTGGTCCGATGCCAACACTACCAGATCTAACAGGACGAGGTCAAAACAATGCGTCGCCAAGAGGTGCAAGAGGTAGCTATTACCGATTATATCAGTTTTATTATCCTACAAATTCGAAATTTATATTGCCTGAAAATTAAAATCAAAAAAATGAAATAACTTGTCGCTATTTCGTTTTATTTCTTTTCTTTGCAGGAGGGCGTCGCAAAGCAGCAGGTCTTTCTACACGTTCTCAAGGTACTACTCGTAAACAACGGCAGCAGCGGCAGCAAACTGTTGATCAGCTAGCTGTAGCAGCTGCAGCTGCGGCTGCCGCTGCGCAACAACAACAGCAACAAATGAGTAGTGCCGTTGGCTGTGGTGGAGGTCCACCTCAGCAGCCTACATACCCGAGCACCTGGGCTACTGGCCCACAGCAAACAGGTGTACCGCAGCAGTTCGCATCTGGGCCTTCAGTGCCTCCATCTGGTACGGGGCAAGCAGGTGACGAATTAATATTTCTTCACATAAGGCATTCATACCACGATTTGAAACTAAAATTCATAATGCAATGTGAAATTCGAGGAAATTAGAGGTCTTCGGGTTTGATATTTAAAGTCAAGCTTCATGTACATGTCATGCCAGAGATCCTGGATGAACTTGTTTTACCTTCACAAAATGTTTATAACCTATGGTAGCTGGTGATTGCTAACAAAAAAAAATTTGCAGTAAAAGGTTTGTCTCATCGCTCTACTACACGGAATGAAAATGCATATGAAATAATATAAAAAAAAGAAGGCATTTAGACTTAAATAAGGAAATTTCAGGCACCGCAATGGGTACTCAAACAACAGAAGATTCAAAAATGAAGATTCACTCAATGATCTTGCAAAAGCGACAAGCGCAAGCTGCTAGTGGTGCTACTGCAACACAACAAGGTGTAACAGGTGGACCTCAGCCATCTATGCAGGATGTTAATGGTTAATTTTCCACTGCTTGCTAGGCTGTAAATACCAAACGTTCAACAACAGTTTATCGTATATTATCATTAATTATTGTTACTGATCTTTCATGCTTTAGCCTACCAAATCTCCGCAGGACCGCCACAATATGGTGGTAATATGATAATGAAAGTTGAAACGGGTGCTAACTCTATGCAAATGGTTGATCATACGCAGCAGCAGCAACAACAACAACAACAGCAGCAATATGCCCAACAGCAACAACTAATCCAAATGCAGCAGGGTAAAACTGATATTTTCATTTTCAACACAAGCGAATAATTCTTGTCTCTCAGTTTATCATTTCTGTAAAAGTTTCCGTAAAAAAAAGCGTATGGAAGATTCTCCTAAAAATTTCATTCTATTGTGTTTTTTATGTGAAATTTTATATTTACAGATGTCCAAGGAGGCTCCCAATATGTTGTTCATCAACAACAACGGGGTGGCATAGCTTACGGACAGTCGGTACAGCAGGCGACTTATGACTCTCGGTCAGTGCTTTATTGTTTAGCTTTTAAGTTTTTTCCAGCTTTTTTTTTTTTTAATCTAGTGATGCTAATTCTATATTTGTTTAGATTTAACCAGGATATAAATTAAAAGTCATTTCTTTCTTACATACATGAAACAAAATTTTAGATGAATTCACATATCCCATTTGAGGAATTCTTGTATGATTTAGCTTTGGTGATTTGAACAGGTAATTCTTGATATGGCTTTAGATTCAGTCAACAGCAGTTGCAATATGGACAACAGCCTCAACAGCAACAACAGCAATATCATCCTACACAACAGTACTAACATTTGATCGTTGAATTATGGAATCTAAAGCTCGCAGAATTCCAAAATTGCGGATCGAGTACAGTTTGTGTCGTAATTTTGATATTCAAAATGTAAGTTCGAGGCTGCAACCCTTAATAGTAAAATGAGTCCTCCTAAGGAGAAACTGGTTGCTTCTTTTACCTTGTAAAAAATTCTCATCTGAATGGAAGGAGACATCCGATAGGTTTGTAGGCGCTCGAAATTATTAGTGTTCTGTTATAGCATTTGGATAGACAATAGCGATGGCATAATCTGCTCAAACACTTTTTTATGTGGGATTTGGGAAGAAATCATTCTGGAAAAGATGACAAAATAAATATCCAAAGAAATTTTAGAATAATATATTGTAAATTCATGGAAATTGCTCTGGTGATCCTCTGAAAAGCTGCCTATTGTATATAAATTGTATTATCTGTGTTAAATGTTTGATTTCGTTCTTTCATTATAACATAGGACTAATCGGCTTGGAAAAAAATAAAGAAGTCAACAGTTATGAAATAACTTTATTGACCGCAAACACTTTAATGTGATTGGTATAGCAACATTTATTAGAGCAGTTAGCTTAAGTCAATTTCCTAGTTATAGTATAACTATCTAGCCATTTCTATTCTAATTTGATCTACATTTGCTGACCCATAAAGTGCAGCTGAACAATTAAGAATCTGAGGGTCATATGTGCATAATTGACATCGCTAATGATAAATATTCATCCGTAAGCGTAAACCGTTCTCTTAGCTCTATACCAAAAGTCTTATTTATGAAATACATATATGCTAACAGCTTAATATAGTAACATCAATATGTCTGTAATCGTCTTTGATCTCTAAATGAAGAAATCAAGAAATGTTATTCAAACATTTGGAAATATGCGAATGTTCAGATTACTAGTCTTAACTTATACTTCCAAATATACTAGTATAGCAACTTCTCTTCAGAGGTAACGATAACAAAATTCACCTGTCTACAGGACGTAACATATAATAGTAATTCTGTAATATCATTCAGTAGTTGTGTTACACGTGTCCAATATATGTTGAATTCAACTTCATCATTACTTCCCACAGTTTCAGTTGTGATATCTTGAATGAATTGCGTTGCTGCTGGTACCTTAATCATTGTTAACTTATCAAAGATTTCTCGGTTTAGCACCATTGGTAGAAATGTTTCGATGAACTCTTCCGAATATGGTGGTTCAATGATATCCAGAACATCTATGGCAAAATACCTGTAAAACATGGAACACTTTATATTTAATGATATTCTAATTAAACCGATTACAACATGAGCGAAATTATAATTTCATTGGTAGTTAAATATGCTCTTTCAAATCATAATCTCGTCCAATTAATTTAATTGATATAAACAAAGACTAGGTCTCTTTTTTCCTCAGGAGATTCATTCTCATTTTTTTTAATGTTTGAAAAGTTTTCATGCTTAAAGTAGTTTGATAAAAACAGTGCTAAGTTGGTTTCTTTACAAGTATCAAAAATTTGATAATTTACCGTGCAAGAGAAACATCAGTTTGTCCTTCCTGAAACATCTTATTGATTTTTTCAACAACTGGTAATGCAAATCCAACAGAAAGTAGATGAACAAAACGATTAATAATACTTCGTTGTTTAGCGATAATCATTTCTGCTGGTTGTTGCGACTTTGACTGGCGATCATATAACTCACAAAGCATTTTGAATAACCTTTAATTAGACTTGAAATAATTCAAATAAATATCAAATCAGACCAATAGCTCTCTGATTTATCAATGAATTTATTATAGATATAATCGAAGGGGATGAAATATCATAAACAAATTTTATGATGCTCAAGAACATTTTAGCTTAATAAAATTAAGAGATGTAATATTATGGATAAAACTATCTCTGCTTTAATTACAATATGATTCGTGTTAGCAGTAGTCAATGTGAACAATTTTGAGTTTTTTCCTTTTTTTTCCTTTTTTTTTATTCTGATTGACTATTGCTTTTTCTTTAATTTTTGCTACTCTATCATTATCATTGTTAACCAATATAGTTTTTAGAATTTTGTTTAAATTTTTTCCTGTCTTATATTTCTATATAATATATATAGAAATAGCAAAAATAGAAGAATTAAGGAAATTACTATATTACAAGATTCGTTAACAAACCTGATATGTAAGCCGGGATGTTTGGTAGCAATTTCGTCCAATAAAACGAAATGAACCATTTCAAATTCGATAAGTATTTCATAATTTAACAAAAATCCTTGTAAATAATGCAATAGTCCACCGGCAATTGGTGTAAATTCAATACCTGGTAGAAAAAAAAAGATAAAACAAGATAACATCATTGTTTTTAAATTTTTTTTCATCTATTGGAACTGAACTTTTAGCCTTTTGAATAAATAATAAATTTGTATTATAAAAATTGCACTTCTGTATTAGAAAGTAGATTTGAATTTATCTACAGTTAATATTAACCAATGGATGATTTTGATCATTATTCATCTTTAAAAGATCGCACTCATTATTTTTCACAAAATCTCAGTGATTTTATGTTCTCATAAAAAAGAAAAACTTTGTAAATTAAAAAAGATGAGGTAATTTACAACATATTATTGATTGGAATATTCTAGAGCTCTTAACAGCCTTTTTTTTATTTTTATTAAAAAAATAAAGAATTTTCTGCATTAAAAATTATATACCACTGAGTAGCAAACGGATATCTTTTAAAAACTCGCGTTCCGATCTTATACTATCCAAAATCTTTTCCATAATGTATTCTGTTCGCTCCATCTCTTCCTTATATTGGAATCATGATTACAATTGTAACATATTCTAATGCTACTTAGAACTAAGACGAAAACAAAAAAAAGCGCTTTTTTTTGTTTATGATAAATACTTTTGCAAAATGAAATAAATTATTTAATTAAAAGTAATTAATGAAATTAGAAGTACCAGAAATGAATTTATTTATAAAAGAGAGAATCTTACGTTTTCTTTTTCCATATTCGTATCATTTGAAGTACTACAACAAGAAGCATAAGATAATAAAAAGATGTATTTCGATCGATGACTTAATTGGACCTGAAAAATAATATTGAAAAGAATAAAAATTATATTTTCAGATGTTATGAATTAAACAGTAAAATATTATGAATTACTCCCATCGAGCCGTAATTTGCTTCGAATCCTGAAATATTCCACTTTCGAATTTCGTTTTACTGATTTCCTGGTTCAAACGTATAATTATTGGTAATTGGGTAGATACGTCAGTTAAGCACTACGGAAAATGAATGAATTTAATCATTTAACTAAGAGAAGACTTAACTAAGATTAGGCTAAATAAAATAGAATATAGAACATAGCAGTAAAAATTACTTACTTCAAATAATATTTGAGCTTTTCCAATAAATAAAAATAGTACTGAAACAGATACAGGTAAAAGCAATTACCTTACATCCTTCATATGCAAATAATGCATCGATAAGCATATCGATAAAAAATGGATCTTGAATAAATTCAACAACTGGTGGCTCAGATGAATTGTAACGCTGAAAAAGAATAACAAAAAGAAATAAGCGTTTGAAAAAAAAAATTAAAGATAAATTAAAGGTATAGCTAGAAATGTATTATTTTTATTAATTCTTCATTTACTGATTATTAAATAAACAATCACAATCATTTATTGATTTCAGATTATCAATACTTACTTTATGAACAAAAATTAAATGGGGAAATAAATAATGGGAGAAAATAAATAGTCTCAAAAAAGCTAAAAAAAAAAGCTAATTGACTTCATAGAGACGAATAATATCAGCTTGATTTAGACATTTCTTGCTAAGCATTGCATATATGATTTGCTTCACACTATTACCACAATTATTATATCCTCTATTTAATGCAATATGAATATCATATGAATCTTGATAGTTACGTTTATGTGCTTCACGACGTAATATTTGTGACAAATATGTGCAAGCTGCTGCTACTTCATTATTTTCCTAAAATTTTATCACTTAATTGAATAAAAAATGATGAAAAGTTATTTTAGAATGAAATTTTCTTAGAATTAAATTTTAGCAGAATTTTTAGTTTTTCTAATTTTAGAAGAGTGAAAATGAAGCCCTATCTGCGTCACATGAATTTTATGCAATAGTATAATATCACGCAACTACGTCACCGTATATAATGCTACACTTTTTATTATAATTCTACAAATTAAAGATATATAATCCATAGCTTAATCACCTCACACTTACCTCTTTGATAGTTTCATACAAAAGAACTTGCGTGAACAAATAAGTATGCTTGCTATAACAAACTATCTGAGTTAATTTCGCAAAAGCCTTTTCATAAACATCCGTCATTAGGCCTTTTTTATGCTCCGCAAAAAAGTCATCAATTGCAGCAATAACCATACGACAATAAATTTCAAACTATAATGGTTAATTTATCATAATTAATTAAACCGACAAATATTATTCGTTAGTTAATTTAAATACCGTCAAATTTGTTAGTGATCTGATATCATTCAAGATATTGAATGGAACTAAAAATTGAATAGATGTTTTCGAAAATTTTCACATTGCATAGATAAAGACAAAATAAGAGGCAATAATTGAAATATTTAAATAAAATGAGTAAGCAATAAGTCAATTTAGCAAATAAAAATACGCCTATACCTGTTGCGCAGCTAAATGAACATTTGTAATTTCATGTTGAAAACCGGCATCTGATATTATTCGAATTGCTTTCGTTAAAAATTCCGATCGAGGATTTTGTTCGATCATTAAATTACGCCAATTACTGCAACAAGATTACCTTTTCTCTTTTAAAGTTTAATAATCTATTTAATAATGAATTCCTACTTGACCAATTCACATTGAATTCATGGTCATCTTCAAGCTAACACATATTTAGAATTTTTGATAAATACTTCAAATTTGATTTTTGATAGTTCAGTTAGTAAACCTATGTTTCAGTAATTCTGGTAACCATTTATCAACATCGCCTGCTGCATCAAAATTTCTATCGACAACCACAGCCACGAAACGTTCTTCAAGCAATGAGCTTAAACTTTTTTCGAAACATTCATGAACAATTCTCCGATCACCTTCCAAATCAGATAACCAATCACCAAGCAATTCACAGTACTATAACTTATCAACACGATTAATTAGCTCCATATGATAAAAAAAAAAAAAAAAGTTTTTTCTTCTCGTAACACATGGAAAGCAGTAGGAAATGAAATTTAGGAAGTTTAACATATCAATTTCATGTATCTGTCAAAGACTGATAATAATAATTCATGAAGTGGTACCGAAGAGAAAGTTATCATTTTAATTATCAGTATTGGAAATTGCAGCTCACGTAATACTGAAGTCTTTTAATATTTGCTTTTTGAAGTTTACAATTTCACTAATTAATATTTTTAATACTTAATATAATAAGAAAAAAAAATTAAAAAAAAAATTGAGACAGATACCTGGGCAAGATCACGATAACTATTGGTGAGGGAAGTGATTACAACTTCTGGATGACCACCATTTCTTAAAAATCCTTTAATTGTTATATCTATATTTGGTTCCATTATCGAATTGAAATATGCAATGAAATGGACAAATAAATTTAGTTAATAATCAGAAAAAAAGAGAATTTCTTTATCTCATATCTGTTAATGTTTTACAATCATTTGTTATACATATATAAAGGACAGGTATGTTAATGATATAAAAATAATCAAAATATGAAAATCAAAAAAAAAGAAGTGACCTTGAAGAGTTCTCAGATAATCTCCAATTAATAATTCTCTCGTCTTCCACCCTGAATCGAAACTATATGAAGATTTGTCACTATTATTGCTATTATTATCACCAATATTACTATTACCAATTTGACTTAAATTACAACTCCTACTGCTATCACTACTATTAGGAATAGTTGCAGAAGTAAACGAAGTGATAATATTCGTTGTATTCTTCTCTCCATCTTCTTCTATTGCAGTATTTTCTGTAATGAAAAAGAAAGCAAAATAACATTTTAGAAGAATTAATCTAAAATGAACAAAAAAAATTTTTATAAAATTTTTCTGTGGTAAAAATTTTTGATAAGAAAGAAGGCTATAAAAGTCAAAATATCATATATGAACTACGCATCTTAAAGTAATTTGTAAATTGCCAAAAACAAAACAAAAATTTGATATATGAAGTTAAGATGAATATTTTGCCTATTTATTTTTGTAAACGAATTATACATAATTACAGTACTAATGCAATTAGCAAATTAGTTTCTATTTCAGTAAAAGCTATGACTTACACTGAGAAATAATTTAATAAGATGTTACTAGTGATAGAGAGAATCTAAAATTTCCAATTAATATAAAACCTATAAAATTGCTTTAAGAGTTACCGCGAATTCCAGAAGCAAATGTTTGATTTTGATTTTTAATCATCGTCATTGAAATCTCCAAATCATCATCCATTCCCATCGTAAAAAACTAGAAATTTTTTTCCATTGAACATTTTGTAAAAATAGACTGATAAATTAATTTGAAATATTTACTTTCTTTTCTTTTGTTCCTAACAGTAATATATCTATAATGACAATATTCTGTAATTATTAAGCCAAATATCTGTTTATCTCGTAAGAAATAGATCAAGGATAGATTTTGAACTATTGATTGATTATCACTGGTATTATAATTCATGAAAATTATTTCACGATTAACTTACTTTACTCCCTCTATTCAAATTAATCTATAGAATGACAAATAATGCATTTGCACTGGCATCTGATTATATTTTCCCCAAGCTTTTGATATCAATTAAAAAGTTTAAATTATCATAATATTCATTTAAATTTTCAAATATATTTAAATATCATAATTCAAACATGAAAACTATAATACCATACAATCGAGGAACTTTAAGTCCATTATATCACTATTTCAAAAATTCCAACTGTTTCCAATCTTCCCATTTATTCCTTATAGTTTCCTATTTCTTTCTCCATCAATATAATATCATTTGAGAACTGAATACGAAATAAACAAATAACACAAAAGTCTAAATTTCAAATTAGAAACTTACGTAATTATTAATTATATTTACATAAAATGATAAAATTTCTAAGGAAATAAAAGATAAACGCAGCGCAAATCTTTCATTTATCCGCCATATATTTCTTACAAATTGTTATAATAGACTAAGTAAAGAAGTGAGCTAAAAGAAGAAACACATGCAATACATGTTATATTCCCACGTATTCTACGTGTCCTCTATTGATTATCTTAAAACTATACGATAAAGACAGAAGCGCAACTATCAAGCAACACTATATCACTCCCATGCTTTTAAATAATGCCATTGTGGACATAGAGTGAACCATTCTATAAGTAATTTATATGTGTGCAAAGGAAAGAGAAGAAACAAAAATTTGCATAAAATGAGGAGAGAAGAGGTTTGGAATTTTCAGAGATTTCTTCACTGTTACAATTGTAATAATACTAACAATAATAATAAAATATTTTAACCTAAATCATTTGACAATTATTGTTTAAAATGATACTTAATAGTATTAAATTTAGCTTATTACTTATGCTATTTGATAATATTATAAAACATTGAAATAAGCAAAATTTTTGCAATTATTTAATGTAATCTAACGTGAAAACATCTTTATTATTCACTTATATGTTAGCGTTTTATCAAAAAATTTCTGGGCTAATTTGTAACATTAAGTGTACACGTATGGTATACGTGTGCAACGTTAAAACATTGTTTCATCTCTAAGTTAAATTGTATGAAAATAATTGTGGAATTAAAATTCCCTAATTAAAAAACACTGTTGATTTATGCATTTTAACAATTTAAAACTTTGGCAGTTGGAAAATATGATAATTTGAGGTGCAACTTTTTTTTGCCTTATGCAGTGATGCTGTGAGAAACCAAGTGAGTAAGTTAGCTAATCTATTAATGATAATAACGTGTGATTATAAAAATGGTTGAATTTTAGAATTCATTTTAAACGGTAAAAATTTTTTAATTGAAATTTATTTGTCAGTACTGTTAGAGGCTTAGCGGTTTGGTATCCGTTAAGCTCTGGTGATAACATTGGAACAGGAAATTGTTATTTTGATATTATTAGAATAATATTGTTGTTCTGTTTTCATCTTTTTTTCATCATTTTTTTCCAGAAGTATCCTATTTATTTGTTTGTTTCGTTATAATATTGAATTTTTGACTCGATAAAGGCTAAAACACAAAATAGCTCTCTACGAATATGTTATTAACATATACTTAGACGTGTAACTTTTCTTTCGAAGTTTCATTACAGTTGCGGAAAAAGAACATTGTGTTTTAGCCTTTAGCCTGTTTGACCTGAAATATTGCGTGATTAAATGGTGCAATCAGAGATGTTTCCTTTTGATGCTACGTTACGTATACAATTAAACGATCATAAATATTTGACTATCGAAATATTTGAATCATTCAATTTTAGATTCAATAACTATGTCGTCGGATCGTTTTAAACGAAAAGAAATTAGAACTTTAAAACAACGATGGATAATGTAAAGTTATAAAATTCTTTTGTTTTTCCTAATTTCTTTACCCTACTTTACGACATGGAATGTTTTATCAGTCGATCGGGAATGAGATAATCAATATTTCACTTTTCTTCAGGAAGCATAAAGATCGTACGGATGATATACCAAACTGTCCATCTATCGAGGACATTATTGATATGCCAATACCTAATGAAATTCTGTCCGTTTCATTTGATGCTATCTTCAATTTAATTTAGCATTTTATAATTTTACGTAAAAATTTTACGGAATACATAGTATATTATTGAATGAATCAATCACCATTACTTGTAAGACACAATTTTATCATATAATTCGAAAAATTTATCAGGAAAGAAAAAAAAGATTGAAACTAACAAACTCTTGCATGATCAAGTTAGATGAATTACAAAATAAAATGGCTAATATATGTTTTCCAGACCGTCCGAGAAAACGGAAACTAGTAATGTCATAACTGATTCGTCAATCTTGAATGCTAAATTACCGACTGGTGCAATACAATCGCAAACGACAAGCAGTAATTCTTTCCTATTATACTTTAAATAAGCAAATTTATATTATTTTGTGACACAATATTGTGTGACATTTCTTCCTGAGACATTTAACCATTGCTAACAGATCATTCATCCTCATGATTATGTATTTCTTATCAGCTTTTGCAGGATAAATCCTTCTTTTTCATTGTATAATTGACTATTTATCTAATAACAAGAAAGGAAAATCATTTATTTATTTATTAAAATTATTGAATCTTATTTCCATTTTTTATTGCGCAATAATTTTAAGTAAAAGTAACATTTTAAGGATAGTTATCATATATGAAACAGAATATCAAGCATATTGTTGTGATATCCTTAACATTTGACCTTTTGTTTGCATATTGATATCTATTCTTCTTCAAGTCACTCAAATCAGAATGAAATATGAATTATTTGGAGATTATTATTACAAGCTTAATAATACTCATAGTAATATCAATATGTTATGTAATGTAATTGGATTTTAGGTTTCTGTAAATTATTTCAGTTCAATATGATGGAAAAAATCTACTAAGGAAGGCTTAATCTTCTTCAAAATTAGTTGAATTATAGATTAGCATAGAAAAACATAATAATAAAAGTTTGAAATGCATCTTATACTTTTACTTCAAAATTATTTATTAATTAAATGAGTTAACATTGCTTATTGAAGTTTATAACATCTACAAAGATGATATATGTATGTATAAACGATATGATAGATTTCATTCATCCTTGATCGATCCAATTTAAAATTAAGCTATTTGAATTTTGAGCTGCGCAAGAAAATTCAACAAAATCGACGGGTCATGAAACGTCGATAGTACCAAAACGGTTCCATCGAAATTATCGCAAACGACAACGACATTCGCGGAAAAGCAGCAAGCGTCATAGTTCATCCATTTCAAAGTTAGTTCTTAAAATGTGATAAACGAATCAATGGGAATCATATTGTTTTAAGTAATAAGAATTTTTCAATATTATTAATGATGGAAAAAGTCAATTTATAAGTTAACTCTTACCTTAAAAAATGAAACCAATTTTTAATTTATTTTTAAAAATATTTAGTGAAAAATGGTATCTAATTGATAAAAATTACTTCTTATCTGTTGAATTGTGAAAATTGGGTTATAATATTTTCGATTATTAAATAACCCATTCTCATTTACAGTAGTGAATTTGCCATCCAGGGTCCAGCTTCCGAAAGACGTGACGATATCCCGATGTGCCCAGATATCCAAAATATTTGCGATCTTGATCAAAGCGAAATAGAGTCCATTTTATACTAATTGATTGTCAGAAATATTTTTATCAAATCGAAAAATATTTATAGCAAATTTTTAATTTGAAATAGAATATTTTACTGAAAAAAATCCCATTATTCATTAAAATTTAGGAGGATACAAGAGAGTATTTAGAAAAAGGAAATTTAAATAATGAAGGAAGAATAATATGCCATCAATAACAAAAAAACAAATTTGTGATATAAATAATTTATATTCAATATTGATATTAATAATAATGAAACGTTTTTTGTTTTGATCGTTTAAATCTTCCCTTTGCTAAGTAATGTTTATCTTTCAAATTATTAGAATCACAATTTTTTTTTTTTTTTTTTTGAAGGAACCAATTAGCGTTTGACCATTTAACTATCTATCACTATTATATATAATTATCATTATTATATGTATATATACTAAAATTAATTTTATTATACTTCTAACAATTGTTTCTGTTTTATAGTGATGACATGTCCGTTCATCGATTTTCCCACGCATTTCATCAATTACTTGATGATTTTCTGCTTCTTCTAACCAAATTAACACAATTCTTGAAGGGTCATCCAGTAAGTACTGTATAAGTATGAAATAATTCTATGTAACAATAAACGAAAAGCATTTTGTACCGTATATGTCCGAAATAATTACTTCATTTGCATATTTTAAACTGAAACAAAAATGAAATTAGGAAAGACGAGACACTCTAAATTCTTAGCTAAATATTTTTCAGTTTTTTCTTTCTCTATTCTATTAATTCATTACAAACATATGTGTATTCAAATTTGTGAAGTATTGATTAAAAGAGAAGAAAGGCAATAATGTGACAGTAAATAAAATAATTATGAATTTATAATTTTTTTCAGTTACTTTTCAATTTTTTTTTAAACTAAAACAAAATTATAAATTATCTCCAACTAAATTATAAAATGTTTATTCTAACAACGTGTTAACAATTTTATATAATAATTTTTGTGAAAATTTTCATATTCCTTTTTTATTTTAGTTTTAAATTCTCAAGAATTCAATTTTCAAAAAATAAACTTTTCACTATTTCTGATTTTTTTTTTTTAAACAAACAGTGGAAAAGTGTTGTCGTCAACATCCCTTTTGTAACTATTCAAAAACTTATTATATTTTGCTATTTTTTTTCCGATAATAGGAACCTAAGTTACGTAAAGTGGTATCAATATATGTATTCTACGTCGAATTAGTTTATTATCTCATTGAGAAAAAATTTACTTACATTTCGCTTTTTTAATAAGAATTTATTTATTTTTTTTTAAATAAAAAATCGTTTTTATTTAATTTTAAATTGTCTTTGAATTCGATTTAAAAGGCCGATAACAATTATCATTTGTTGAGATTGCAATATATTTACCATAATTGCTTATTTTTCATCATAATTTAATATAATATTACTGTACTGATTTTAAAATATTTCCTGGCTCTAATTCGATTAATTTTAGCGTCCTGCAACAATAACAGGTTTCATTGTTGCCAGTTATTTGCTTATTAGTTATTTGGAGCTTTCAATTGCTGCACTTATTGAATTAATTGCCCAAGCTATTTGGCCAATATCACATGCTATGCTTCTCTTCATTGGGCGTCTTTCCATAAATTTTAGCTCATTCATGCATTTTTCCGATGATATTATTAAGGTTAGCAAATTTGTTTAATATTTATTCAAAAAAAAAAAAAAGAAGAAAATTGTCTAAAACTCTAACGATGGTAAATTGCAAGGGGGTATGAAGTTATTTTATCGTCTAATTGGTCATTTGAGCTTAGAAGCATAACATTTTTTGAAATTCTTTCAATTTAGCAAAATTATTCTCAAAAAGTAAACATTGTTTTGAAAAGAAAAGCTTACTTACTTACTCACTTCATGATCACTCATTTTTGTTAATTGTAGTAAAATAAAGTGTTTTTGTTGTAGAAGAAAAACTGATAGAAGTAATAATCAATGTTACAATGTAGATATTAGTACAGTACATATTGATAATAATAATGAAAAAAAGATTGGAATCATTGTAGTTATTCATTACAAGTGATAATGTTAATGTGATAAGAAGTGGCAGAAAGAATATTTTTACAGGGTGCATACTGCGATGTGGCAGAGATTTGGTGTAAACATTTTCAAATGATGTGTGCCGATCGGTGTTCATTTTTCAGTATGGCAGTGGAACGATTGAAAAATTAAAATTAAACTTTAAATAAAAGAAAAAATAAGAATGATATGAAAAAGAATAAATTTATTCTTTCCATTTACTGATAGCTTTATTTGATATTGTAAATAATAAATCAACACATTATTATTATAATTTTGATTTTATTTTATGATAAATATTTCAAAGATGATGTAAAACTATAATTAATCTTCGGATTCATTAAATGGATTATTTTTTTGAAAATTACATTTGTAATATTTCTGAGCTTATATCAACAAATTTTATTGTTCGGAACAGTATAACTTCGGATCAATAGTTCGCATCAAATTCAAGAAAAGCTATTTCTTATATTCTTAATACAATTTTTAGATATATTAATGGAATATTTCTAATCATGCTAACTAACACATAAATTAATTTACCAATTAATTTAAAATGGAACTACATTTTAGCTATTACATTGGCCTCATTAATATTGTGTTTTTTTTCTTTTTCCTTTTTTGTTTTGAAATTTTATTTTGCATTTCTCTGGTTTTCATTTTTCATATAAATGATGTTTCCATTATTTTTGAAATTTGAATTTAGAAAATAAAAAAACAAAATTTTTTTTATAGATAGAATTAATTTTCATTATAATATGATCTTTTTGTTCTTGAAATATCCTTGAAATTAGATCATAATGTTAACACTGACAAATATTGACTTGCTAGTACTGTGTAATTTTCAATAAAAGAAATATTCAGTAAGTTTCATAAATTTATTCCAATAATTGGTATTGGTAGGAACTTAATTTTATTTGTAATAGAAAAACATAAAAATCTTATATCACGTAGTATAAGTAAGATAAATACTTTCTTTAAAAAAAGAAAAAATATTTGTCAGTGTTAACTTGAAATAAAAAATCTTAATTGCAGTATAATTTTTTTTTTTGCGATAAATTGGTAAAAAGAAAAAGTATTTATCTTACTTATACTACATGATATAAGATTAAAAGTAGTATTAAAGTAGTATTAAACTAAGTATTAAAGAAAATTGAATTTGATTAAAAGTGTTGAAGTAAATTAGGAACTAAGTTTGTTTGAAATTCATTTTGGGTAAAAAGCCTTTTAAGCCTTTGGATTTCGGAAAGTAGTTTTATCTTTGATAGAATTTCATTATTATCAAAACATTTTGCGGGAATAATTGCTATGACCTTCATTTATTCCTTCTCTCCATCATATCCCGTCCCCTCCCCCTTCCTACACATTCCTATTTATCTATTACTATTATTATACCGTAAAGTAAGTCAGTTATACGTTCAGGAAGTTATTTCCAAGTATAATTTTTCTATTAAAAGATATTTTTTCAAATCAAGAAAAAACAGTTAATTGCTGCGAATATATCCATGCAAAGTTTCATTCATATATAATACCGTAATTTTGTTTTTCCGATATTCTTCTCCAATACCGGAATTTCAGTCAATTTCATTTTATTGATTTTCATCGTGCTAATGCTATATCTTATCATTGCTGATAAAATATAATCAAAAGTAACCAAAAAATTCAAGATAAAAGCACTTTTTCTTTTTTTATATCACATACCAATCAATATATTGACCTTGAAATATTGCCGATAATGGTAATATTGTTAAAATTTATGAAATTATGAGTAAAATCTGTAATAGTATAAGCGCATTAATCCATCTGATAACTGCATTTATTTCATTGACAATACCGCCCTTTTCTTTTTATTTTAACTTTGCTTCCAACTTCTTATGAAAAAATTTACTCATTCCTTTAATTTTCAATATTTTTTTTTCGTTTTATTGATTTTTTTGGGAATTTGAACATTTAGGTATTATTAAAAAACATTATTTGTTTTCTCATTGTTTTTTGCTTTTTGCTTATTTTTTTTTTTGTTATTCAAGTTAAACTAAATAATATTTCGCTTCATTTATATTCTTTTACTAATGTCTCTTCCATTCGTTATTACGCATATTTCACTTCAGTTTTCATATATTTACGTGTAATACTTATTTAATAGTCATAAAATGCATGCATTGTTTAGCTTAGTGCTAAATGCGAACACTTTAAATTTGAATAGTATTCGAAACTCTGGAGAAATTGCAAATTATTATTGCTTAAAGAAAAGTATGATATAATCAAATAATTATTTACATTTATTATCATTTGATGGTTGAATATTAAATATGACCTATTTGATAGAGAGATAAGGCAGATAATGAATGATAAGTGACGATTATGAATGTAAAATTTATATTATTGATTCACTTGATATTATCTAAAAATTATTTCTACTTCTTACCTTTAATTTTACTAAATATGTAATCTCTTCTGTGACCTATTTATACATTTTTTTTTGTTCAATTAATTGAAAAAAAGAAAACAGAAATTATTATTATTATAAATTAATGAAATTACTTCTTACAATAATGTTTATAAAAGATACAATACAAAATTATTAGCTAAAATTTTGACTTCAATTTTAAATAACTCAGAGCAATTAATCAATTTCAATAAATTTATATTTCATTTTCCTTTCAGGAATCTAATTAATTAAGATTGAATAAAAATAAAGATCAAATATGTATTTTGTTGAAATTATTTGGCAAACACTTACAAATGATCTTGCTCCATCGTATTAGAACCGGTTCTCAAAAATATTGCTGCAAATATATTATTGTCACATGCTATTCTCACATACCATTTTAGGTCCGAATGACATATCGTTTATTTCATTTACTTGTCTTAGATTATCGCAGTTATATTTGTCAATGGTAAATATTCTGCAGTTGTCGATTTATTAATTCTTTGAATTTTTTTAACCGTTTAATTTTATCCATTAAATGTTTAATTTTATCCATTCATCTAATTGTGTTAGATTATCGTAGTTATATTAGTCAACGATAAAAAATAATATTTTCTCTAAAAACTTCAGTATTCTCCAAAAACTTTGAAAAAGGAAAAAGAAAAAAAAGAAAATTCTGTAAAAATTTCCTAATATTCACATAAACAATGAATTTCAAATTTTCAGCTATATCTTTTTAAGCTTGGATCGGTCTCAATTAATCAATTAATTTTTTCTCTTTTTTATAATTACTATGCCAACATTGCTTAATTATTCAAAATCAATATTTTAGAAAGTGAAATTTTTTAAAAATTTTAGTTAATTTCTTAGATTATTTTAATTAAGCCATCAGATTAGGCTTAGCTAATTTATAAATTTTCTGATTATGTATTGCAAAATTAATGATATGTTTAAGTGCATTAAATTAATTCTACGTAGTTCACATGTATTATTAAAAAAAATATATATGAATGAAATTTCATAGAAAAAAAAATGTGGCAGTCCTAAATAACATGTTTATCAAACGTTTCACGAATTTCAGCATTAATTGTTTCATCAATGTCTACCATAAGGTTGGTAAATTTGAAAATATATTATTTGACGTACGTTTGTTAACGCGATGTATTGACAAAGCAATTGAATATATCTTTGACGTAACGACAACATATTTAGACGTATGGGAAAGCCATAAATGATAATTTATTTACCTTAAATGTTATAATTATTCCATGGTATAGAGTGTTTTAACTATGTTATACAGTGAACTCAGACATTTTTCCCGTTTGTCATCCTTTTTCGCAACATTAAAACAAATAATAATCTTTCCAAAATTTTTGGTTTTTTAAAAGATGAAATTTTTTTTTTTTTTACATAAGCTTATAAACAATAGTTTAAAATATATAATAATCATTCTTTTTTGTCTTTTTTTTGCATTTCTTTGAAATATTTGCAGATATGAATGTGTCTCAAATCCAGATTCATTAGCAATAAATGATGAAGCAAGAATTTATAATGCGGAACAAATCGATGATACAGCTCTAATTACCACTCATAATGATAACTTTGATCATATCTTCGTGGATAATATTACCTGGCAAAATATCTTTGAGGATATACGATATTCACAACGACAACAACGATTTTGTATAGGTATGCATAAGAAATATTTTTAATTACGAAGCTAATTATAACTTTGCATAAAATTTTGGCAAATAAATTTTTTGTTTTTCTTTTAAAATTTTATAATTATCAGGTATTATTATCTCGATGATTTGCATAATGTTGGTTCTTTTGGTCTCATTATTATCGGGTTTTGGTAAAGTTATTTTTGATGTTATCACATATCAGGAAAAATCACGCCATGGTAAAGAATATTATTAACCTTTTTTTGATTTAACAATTTGTCATTGATAATAATTTTCAAATAATTGATTGATAAGATTTTGTTAGCTATGGAATAAAATATGATTAAAGAAATGTTATCAATTAACTGCTTTGTTAAAATTGTTTTCTTAATAATTTGTTTGTTTTTCTCTTTTTTTTTAAGGTCTTATGATGATACCAAATATCCGGAAACGATCCCTCAATGTATTTTATTTTAACTTGCGAAATGGTACAGCAAATGCAGAATACGTGAAAGAAATTGATGATTATCTTGAAAGTAAATAAATTCATAAAGCTTTTATGAAAAATAACTTTAAAAAAATATTTTTTTTTAAATTCATTCTTTTTCCAATTTTATTAGGAAATACTTGAAATTTCATTGAATAAATTAACAATGATAGGTAATTATGTATATGTCATATGCCCCATATACCCTACGGGTACGTAACATTTGTTCAACAATTAATCATTTAAATTATTCTTTGATGCTTAAATTATCAAATTAATAAAGTCCTTTCATTCTATTTAATTTTTGAATTTTATCAGTAAAAATTTACAACTTTTCCTGTCCAATTTGCTTGATTATTTCAAATAATTTAATCCTCTTAATTCTTTTTTTTTAAATATTTATTGATAATATTTACAAAAATGAAAATTTTTGCAGAATATGTTAAAGACCGAGAAACGATGGGAGAATTTTTGAAGATTTGTACGATGGAAGAACGAAGCGATAAAAATCATTGGTGCGCATTTGACATCAAACGACAATTTCATTCCGATTGTTCCAAAACAACTAATTACG